GTACCGACCAATTCAGCGACTCCAGAGGGATGGAAGGCTCTATTGGTTTAATGGAGTATCAATTCGGGATTTAGCCGAGGACCGTGCGTGTGTCTTAGTGCGACTCTTGCCGCTACACCACCCCTGCCCTATCCAAAAGCCATATTTTGGGGTCGGACATGTTCACAAAGGCATTTCCCAGTTGATCTGATTGAATTTAGGGCCGGTTAAAGCATCTTTAGAAAGTCTTCTTCCTATATTCTCGTACTCAACGCGAAGCAAAGAATCTACAAACCAATGTTTATTTTCAAATCAAATCAGTGTAGAGATGATGAGTTAGGTAAAGATAAAACCATGAATTTGTCATTATAAGGGTTGCATCAATTCTGATATCAGACATCGAGAGTGTTGTTGAGACGATAATACATCGCCAGTGATATATCCGACAAAGATGTGCTCGATGAAGTCAAGGAGTAACTGCTGGACGAGATATCACTGTCGCTGTCGCTCGACCCACTGTCGCTTGATGTTTCAGACGGAGCGAGACATTTTTTGGACGAGTTTTGAGGTTTTAATGCTGCATTTGTACCCATGACTTTACATAACTCGTCGTTTATCCTACGAAAATAGGCATCGTCGCAGTGCTTCTCATGGAACCATAGTTCCACTTCGGGAACGAGGTGACGCGGATCGACGCGACATCTGGAAAAATCACACTCATCCGTACCTTTTTCACTGCGCATACGATACAGAAGGCAATACATCAAGAATGGTGGATGGGAAAACATGAACATTAAAATGTTAAATGGAGCATACGTTGAGAGTTATAGATGAGTTGAGTGGGAGGGAAGTGAGTTCGAATAAGCTATAGTTCGAGGTGGTTCAGCGATCTCCTAAGCTGAGGTAGGGAAAAGGGTGATAGCACTGATACGGCGTCGTATTAGCACTTTGCTAGCAATAACCTAGGGTTTATCAAGCATTTTGGCGCGAGGGGACCTATCATTGCAAAGCACTTCCGTAGAAGTAGTAAGGACGAAAAGCCCGTTAGCGTACGCCCATCGAAAGCTGCCCGCATTCGGCTGTGAAATCAATTTTATACCAATTTAGAGAAGAGGTGAAGGAAGGCCTGGAACAGTGAAGGCCGCATCATGGTCGTTGCACAACCATGTATGCGCCATGAATGAGCCGTAGAGCATGCAATGGTGGTGAGATTCCGCGTCTACAATTGTATCTGGTAAACGTGCCGTTGTGTGATCACAGCAATCAATGATGATGATCACGCTTGCAAACCTCTTAAGAGTTTTCTTAAAAGCAAAATTCCAACAAAATATCGAGGATCATCGAGAGCCCTACTACTAGGAGATGATCAAGCTGTACCTGACTACTTTGATATCTTGT